GCCACCGAGTCTAAGTGCCACCGAGGTTCAACTCCGCAGACTCTGCCTCACAAAGGTACCCAACCCAGCTCCTGAGCTTGCCACCCACTGCCCTCAAGAGCAAGAGGCTGCCTCACTCCCTGCACGTTGGGTGTCATTTAAAACTGTTCAGAGCTGAGGCCAGACCTTAAATTCAGAGAGTGCCAGGAGAGCCCTGAGGACATGGCCTTGTCACAAAGCATGGGACATGTTGGGCCAGTGAACTCAGAAGTGACGTGGGTTTTGGTGGCAAGCAGTTAAAGGGAGATTGGTGATTGCAGATCAGCCAGTCATACAATGGAAGAAGACCAAGACCAGCTCTCCTGGGCTCAGCAGAAAACCACACCACAGGAGAGCAATGCCTGGTATTTAATGAGAGCCAGTATCTAGGTGTGGGGCACTCAGAGGCAGCCAGTCTGGGAAAGCAGCAGCAAGAGAACCCTGAGGGTCCACCATCCCCGAGTGTCCTCTCAGAGTGGAGCAAAAGCCAGCGACAGCCGCACTGGTGCCAGAGCGTGCAGTTGCTGCGTGGGGCTGGTGGCACGTTGCCTTTGGGGTGCCGCTAACAGTGAAGTTGTGACCCAGTAATCCCACGTCGTCTTCTGCACACCTATACACACAGGCTTGAAGTCTTCTTTCCCCATTGTTCCGCTCTGGAGATGACCTGGTGAGTGAGTAAGGCCTTCATCAAACAGCAGACTCACCCAGCCCTGAGACAGGATGGAACTTGGGTGCATGGCATTCTTGTGAGCCATCGAAGCAGAGCTCCAGAGAGGGGCCGGGAGCCCAATGCAGGTCATAGAGTGTATGTACAATGTATAGGAAAAACAAGGCGGACAGCAAACGAACCTGTGAGGAGCGTGTCACCCTTCTCCCATGCTCTTCAGAGCAGCTGTTCTGCATGAGCTCAGACATGGAGGACAGCGTTGACGGCAGGGGTGTGGAAGACAGTGTCACGCCAGAGATGTCAGAGAGGGAAGGGAAACTGCAGAAAACCCCAGTGAACACTGCAAAACAGCAAACCTTCACTCGGTTCAGTGGTGGATTTGAACTGGCCGAGAAAAGAAACCTCAGATCTGCACAGAGGCCGTGAGCAGAGAGTAACACAGACACCACAAAGCTCACACATGCTCAGGGGAGAGGAGAAGTGGAATGTGACGAAAGTCATGAGCAGACACATCCAAGAGCCTCAAGAGTATCAAGTAGGACCTTTACAAAGACATTCACCTCCAGAGCACGAGCACAAAAAAGAAAATGCTGAAAGACAAAAAGAAGTGGGCTGGGAAGGCGGCTCAGTGGTAGAGCGCTGGCCTTGCATGCCTGAGGCCCTGGGTTCCACTCCTCAGCACCACATAAGCAGAGAAGAAAAAAGCCGGAAGCGGCGCTGTGGCTCAGGTGGTAGAGCGCTAGCCTTGAGCTGCAGAGCTGAGGGACAGCGCCCAGGCCCAGAGTTCAGGCCCCACGACTGGACCCCCCCCCCAAAAAAAAAAGAACAAATGGAAACGAGGTATTTAGGGAAGAAAAGTATGTTAGCAGACATAAAATGCAAGTACGTCAGTGGTGGTGTTCGAGTGCACTAAATCCAAGCAAAAGGCAGAGGGCAAGCCCCTGGGACTGCAGCCAGGCCGCAGGCCTGCGAGGAGTCACAGCCCTGTGCCTGTGCACAGGACATGCCCTCGTTCTGGCCAAAGCTTGGGGGTCTAGGTCTTGAGAGCTCCAGGTCTAGCCCTGTCTTGAGAAGGTCCTGGCCCCAGCTGGCCACTCTGCCCACAGCCTGCCCAGTCCAGGCGCACTCTGCAGACCTTCCTCAATCTAGGACTTCCCAGACTGCATTTGTGTTTGACCTTCACTTCCTGCATCTCCATGAACTTGCTAAGTACGTTTAGCTTGTTTATTTGTCTCTGGCTTTGTATCTGACTAAGTTATTTCAGAAGGGTTTCAGTGGCAACCTGGCTTCACTCATCAGAATGAAGATAAAGTATGAAAGTACCAGTCACAAAAACCAAGCGGCACGAATTGATGTCTCTCCAAGGCCAAGGTGTGTGGCCGTTTTGCTCCCGCTGGGCAGTGCAGAGACCTGCTAGAGGGGAGACACTACCTTGCAACAGACGGAATGGGGGAAAGGAAATGGCTTTCCACAGGAGTCTGGGCTCTTCCCCGGCCGCCACCTTGTACTGGCAGGCCCGGAGGGCACACATGGGGGGGGGGGGGATTCTGGCCCCTTGGCTGGCCTCTGAGCCCTGCTGCCCTCCCTGATTTGGGCTATCTGATCAGCGTCCAGAACCTTCTCCAGCACAAAGCAGGCCAGAGGCCATCTGCGGGTATGGCTTCCTCCCGCCCCAGAGGTGTCAGCTTGGAGTGTCACTGCAGGCGGAGCACAGGCCACGCGGGCCACTGCAGGCTCCCTGGGTGCTGGTGACAGGCTCACCACCAGACCAAGGTCCAGGACAGCCGAGCCCTCCCAGATGGCAGAGATAACAAGTGTGCTACCCAAAGACGGTGGCTTCAGAGAGCATGCTGGGGACTCACTATGACATTGTAGCAGCCAGCAGCAGACCCGGCTAGGCAATCATGGCTTGTGGGTTACCTAGGCTCTCCCTAGCTTAGCTCCCTCTAAATGAACAGCCGGCATCTGCAGCTCCCCAAGGCGAAGGGCAATCACCCGATCCAGGGGCCGGGCATGGACCTCCTGCCCGCCGTCGGACTTCCTGGCCACCTTTCTGCGGCAGAGATGCCCCTGGCCGGGAGGCTGTGTGTGCTGGGGCAGTGGCCCGTCTCTGTGAGGGGTGCCCACCCAACCCAACCAGGTCTGAGGGCACGCCTGCACCTCTCTCCTGGGTGACCTGGGATGGCCTGGCCAGGCCCCAGCCCTCCCCTGGGGCCTCCCTTGCTGACGGGAGCCTGGGCCTGGGCCCAGCCTCTGCCCAGCAAAGGCTTCGTCCTTGAAGCCCTGTTGCTGGGGCTCAGGGAGCCGCTTTGGTGAGGCCTCAGGACTCCTGTGAATGGACCTTTCCCCCCTCTGATGTCTGAGGACAGGTCACCGAGGCCCTCACTGCCCCCCGCCCCCCGCCCCCACTGTCCCCCCGGGCTCACCCTCTGCCTGTCACTCCTGGACAGGGGACCCATCTCCTCCAGGCACTGGGGCCTTTGTTCAAAGGAAACACTTCAAATTGCAATATGAAAACCAAAGTGCAAGCGGTCTTCCGTTAGTCAACTTTTATTGGGTGTCTGCAGCCTCAGCCTGACTGTGGTCCTGGGGGGGGGGGGGGGGCAGCCCGGCCACACGGGAGAAGGAACGGAGCTGCTGGAGCCCCGTGGGCGGGGGGTGAGGGCAGCAGGCTCTCAGCCGCAAGCGTGAGAGCCAGACACGGAGCCCAGGCTCGAAACGCCCCCGAGCGAGCGCTGGCAGCTAGAGGTGGGGCTGGGCCTGATGGCACAGCTGTCCCTGCCAGGGCACCGCCGTCCAGCCCCACCAGGGCTCACCCCGGCTCCTGCAAAGTTCCCTCTGACCCGACCTCTTAGGTTGCAGGTTGGAGGAAAGACTCGCGGCCTCTGGGGGAGACATTTGGAAATGGAGCCTACTTTCCCTCGACGCCAGGGCTCCCTGAGCTCCAGCCCCTTCCCATCTCTGCCGGCAGCAGTGCCACCGCACGGGGTCCAGTCCAAGTGGGGGAAGAGGTGAGCTTGCTGACAGGTGAGCCGCCCTGAGAGCCTCTGTGGGAGTCCCTGCAGCCAGGTGTGCGTGGACAGGCAGGTGAGTGTGTCACAGGCAGGTAAGCGTGGACGGGCAGGTGTGCGTGTCATGGGCACGTGAGTGTGTCACGGGCAGGTGAGCGTGTCACGGGCAGGTGTGCGTGTCACGGGCAGGTGAGCGTGTCACGGGCAGGTGTGCGTGGATGGGCAGGTGAGCGTGGATGGGCAGGTGAGCGTGTCACGGGCAGGTGTGCATGGGACAGGCAGGTGTGTGTGTCACGGGCAGGTGTGCATGGGACAGGCAGGTGTGTGTGTCACGGGCAGGTGAGCATGTCACGGGCAGGTGTGCGTGTCACGGGCAGGTGTGCGTGTCACAGGCAGGTGTGCGTGTCACGGGCAGGTGAGCATGTCACGGGCAGGTGTGCGTGTCACGGGCAGGTGTGCGTGTCACGGGCAGGTGTGCGTGTCACGGGCAGGTGTGCGTGTCACGGGCAGGTGAGCGTGTCACGGGCAGGTGTGCGTGGATGGGCAGGTGAGCGTGGATGGGCAGGTGAGCGTGTCACGGGCAGGTGTGCATGGCACTGCGGGCGAGCGTGGTGGCTCCTTGGCCGGGGCAGCGAGGCTTCCACACGTGGCAGTGGGTGCTCAGCTTGGGCTGGTCAGGGGACGTGTGTGGTGCCCACCCTAGCTGTGCGGCGCGGCGCGGCATGGTCGGGAGGTAGCTGCCTTGCAGAGAGCTGGCCGTTGCCCCACTGGGTGCTGAGGGAGCAGCCTCATGGCAGGCCCTGGGGCTTAGACGCCCGCTCTGGTCACCTGGGTGCACGGGGACAGCCCCAGAGGACAGACGTGGCCCCAGGGCGCAGGGACCTCGGGTCACCTGTGGGTGACTACGCTGGGCTCTGGGTCGTCCCCTGCCAGCCTCAGGGACATGGCCAGCACAGGGCGCCACAGAGGAGCTGTCCATCTGCGCGGGGCCAGCCCTCTGGGAAGCCTGGAAAGCTGCTCGGCCCCCAAACGCCTCTGTGGTGCTTGAGAGTAAGCGGGAGGCGCGGGTGCTATTGGGTGCCCACTGGGCCGGCGGCGGGGCGGTGTCCCTGCGGGCTGCAGCGCTGGGCGTGAGGGGCAGCTGAGCACAGGCAGCGGCGGCGGTGCTCCCCCTCCCCCCCACCCCTCCCCCCCTCGCCCCGCACCCCTCCCCCTCCCCCTCCCCCCCGCACCCCTCCCCCTTCCCCCTCCCCCCCGCGCCCCTCCCCCTCCCCCCCTCCCCCCCCTCTCCCCTCGCCCCGCATCCCCATGCCGGCTCCACCCCTGGCTGTGTCCGGCTGGCCCCAAGCTGCAGAAGGGTAGAACCTGGTAAGTCGCAGAGTCTCAGAAGCCACTCTGGGCTGGACGCAGACTCGGCTGCTCATGGTGGTCTGGTGGCACAGACCGAGTTTCCAGTGTGGCTGTGTGGCCGCTGCCAGGCCGGGAGCTCACAGCATGTGCAGCCCGGGCCACAGCACACGTAAGGAGCTTTTGGCACCGTCCCCAGGCCCTGCCTGCTAGGGCCTTTGTGCTTCAGGTGTTGACCATTTAGCAGCTGTGTTCCTGGGTCCCAGGTAGTAGTGCCAGCAGGCTGTGTCTGCATGTTCCTGCCCCAGGGCCTTTGCCTGGAGTCTCCCATGGCCTCCCCATGGATGGAACCCTCAGCCACTTCATACGGAGAGGACCCCTCTGGTAGCACAGTTCTTGAGGCCTAGCTGAGCAAGGTCCTCGCTTGGGATGCTGGTCCTCGGCCATCCCTCCTCCTGTCCACCCATATGGTCCTCCCAACCTTATGGAGCGCCCTCGTTCCCTGGGCTGCCACACACGGCTGCTCTACGCTTGCAGGCATGCCCCTCCCCCCCTCCTCCGGCAGCCATCCTCAGTGCTCACCGCCCTCCACCAGGTCCGAGGGGGGGGGAATGAGGTCCCGGGGGTTCATCCTGGCCACCAGGCAGACATCATAGCTGTCGTGCATGAGGGCGTTGGCCGCCACGACGTTCCACTGGTTCTCCCAAGGGTCCAGCTCCAGGATTTCTTTGGAGATAACCTCGTGGCGGTCTGAAAGGCAGTGCAGTCACAAGACACAGCCGCATCTCTAAGCCACCCTGGTGTGGAGCTGAGGCGGAGCAGAGCCCGACGCAGCCGCCTCTGCCCCGGCATCACGCACCACCGGCAAAGACACCCGAATGGAGATACTTTAAGCAAAGGCACAGTTCCTGACACTCGAGAAACCTTGAAAAGCCACACTGCAGTTTCCATTAAAATACTGGCCCAGGACTGGCACCCTCGTCTCCAGCCAGGAACTGGTGTGAGCCAGGCCGGAGTCCTGTCCCTGTGTGACTGGCCCCCGCGTGTTTTGGATGGAGAGGGGTGCGGAGACTCTGGGTAGCTGGGCTACATCCTGAGGGTTTAGCAAAGGATGGAGGAGGGGTTCAGGACAGCTCAGGACCCACGCCCAGCCCGGGACCTGGAGGAGGACAGCTGTCTGGATGCAGACAGAGCACCTGGCGGGGTGGGCAGCGCCTGGCGGGGTGGGCAGTGTCTGGCGGGGTGCAGCGCCTGGTGGGGTGGGCAGTGTCTGGCGGGGTGGGCAGTGTCTGGCGGGGTGCAGCGTCTGGTGGGGTGGGCAGTGTCTGGCGGGGTGGGCAGTGTCTGGCGGGGTGCAGCGCCTGGCGGGGTGGGCAGTGTCTGGCGGGGTACAGTGTCTGGCGGGGTGCAGTGTCTGGCGGGGTGCAGTGTCTGGCGGGGTGGGCAGTGTCTGGCGGGGTGGGCAGTGTCTGGCGGGGTGCAGTGTCTGGCGGGGTGGGCAGTGTCTGGCGGGGTGCAGTGTCTGGCGGGGTGCAGTGTCTGGTGGAGTGGGCAGTGTCTGGCGGGGTGCAGCGTCTGGCGGGGTGCAGCGTCTGGCGGGGTGCAGCGTCTGGCGGGGTGCAGTGTCTGGCGGGGTGCAGTGTCTGGCGGAGTGGCCAGTGTCTGGCGGGGTGGGCAGTGTCTGGCGGGGTGGGCAGCATCTGGCAGGGTGCAGTGTCTGGCGGGGTGCAGCGCCTGGCGGGGTGGGCAGTGTCTGGCGGGGTGGGCAGTGTCTGGCGGGGTGCAGCGTCTGGTGGGGTGGGCAGTGTCTGGCGGGGTGGGCAGTGTCTGGCGGGGTGCAGCGCCTGGCGGGGTGGGCAGTGTCTGGCGGGGTGGGCAGTGTCTGGCGGGGTGGGCAGTGTCTGGCGGGGTGCAGTGTCTGGCGGGGTGGGCAGTGTCTGGCGGGGTGCAGTGTCTGGCGGGGTGCAGTGTCTGGTGGAGTGGGCAGTGTCTGGCGGGGTGCAGCGTCTGGCGGGGTGCAGCGTCTGGCGGGGTGCAGTGTCTGGCGGGGTGGGCAGTGTCTGCAATGTCTGGCGGGGTGCAGTGTCTGGCGGGGTGGGCAGTGTCTGGCGGGGTGCAGTGTCTGGCGGGGTGCAGTGTCTGGCGGGGTGCAGCGTCTGGTGGGGTGCAGTGTCCGGCGGGGTGCAGTGTCTGGTGGGGTGGGCAGCATCTGGCGGGGTGCACTGTCTGGCGGGGTGCAGCGTCTGGTGGGGTGCAGTGTCCGGCAGGGTGGGCAGTGTCTGGCGGGGTGGGCAGCGTCTGGCGGGGTGCAGTGTCTGGCGGGGTGGGCAGCGTCTGGCGGGGTGGGCAGCGTCTGGCGGGGTGCAGTGTCTGGCGGGGTGCAGCGTCTGGCGGGGTGCAGCGTCTGGCGGGGTGCAGTGTCTGGCAGGGTGGGCAGCGTCTGGCGGGGTGCAGCGTCTGGCGGGGTGCAGCATCTGGCGGGGTGCAGCGTCTGGCGGGGTGCAGCGTCTGGCGGAGTGGCCAGTGTCTGGCGGGGTGCAGTGTCTGGCGGGGTGCAGTGTCTGGCGGGGTGCAGTGTCTGGCGGGGTGGGCAGTGTCTGGCGGGGTGGGCAGTGTGTGGCGGGGTGGGCAGTGTGTGGCGGGGTGCAGTGTCTGGCGGGGTGGGCAGTGTGTGGCGGGGTGCAGTGTCTGGCGGGGTGGGCAGTGTCTGGCGGGGTGCAGTGTCTGGCGGGGTGCAGTGTCTGGCGGGGTGGGCAGTGTCTGGTGGGGTGGGCAGTGTCTGGCGGGGTGCAGTGTCTGGCGGGGTGCAGTGTCTGGCGGGTGGGCAGTGTCTGGCGGGGTGCAGTGTCTGGCCGGGTGCAGTGTCTGGCGGGATGCAGTGTCTGGCGGGGTGGGCAGTGTCTGGCGGGGTGCAGTGTCTGGCGGGGTGGGCAGTGTCTGGCGGGGTGCAGTGTCTGGCGGGATGCAGTGCCTGGCGGGGTGCAGTGTCTGGCGGGGTGCAGCGCCTGGCAGGGTGGGCAGCGTCTGGTGGGGTGCAGTGTCCGGCGGGGTGCAGTGTCTGGCGGGGTGGGCAGCGTCTGGCGGGGTGCAGTGTCCTGTGGGGTGCAGTGTCTGGTGGGGTGGGCAGTGTCTGGCGGGGTGGGCAGTGTCTGGCGGGGTGCAGTGTCTGGCGGGGTGGGCAGTGTCTGCAATGTCTGGCGGGGTGCAGCGTCTGGCGGGGTGCAGTGTCTGGCGGGGTGGGCAGCGTCTGGCGGGGTGCAGTGTCCGGCGGGGTGCAGTGTCTGGCGGGGTGGGCAGCGTCTGGCGGGGTGCAGTGTCCTGCGGGGTGTAGTGTCTGGTGGGGTGGGCAGTGTCTGGCGGGGTGGGCAGTGTCTGGCGGGGTGCAGTGTCTGGCGGGGTGCAGTGTCCGGTGGGGTGGGCAGTGTCTGGTGGGGTGGGCAGTGTCTGGCGGGGTGGGCAGTGTCTGGCGGGGTGCAGCGTCTGGTGGGGTGGGCAGTGTCTGGCGGGGTGCAGTGTCCGGCGGGGTGGGCAGTGTCTGGTGGGGTGGGCAGTGTCTGGCGGGGTGGGGAGTGTCTGGAGGGGTGGGCAGTGTCTGGCGGGGTGCAGTGCCCGGCGGGGGGCAGCGCCCGGCGGGGTGGGCACATCCACACACTCTATTTCTGTGCTGGTCACACAGCTTCCACAGAGGAACAGGCCGGGTCCCAGGGGAGCGGGGGTGGCCCGCCATGTTGGACCATGTACAAACCAGGGGCAGGGAGGAGAAGCAGGCGCTTTCTCCAAAATCAGGTTTCTGCCTATAGAGGTCTTTAAAATGTAAGATACTGCGCTTCATCTTTGTAAGATAACAAAATTGTGATTTCTCCAAAATATTTTCATGTTAGAAAACTGAAACATAACCCTAAACTCCTATGCAATGATTTTTTATAACAATGTTAATTTTAGACTAAAACATTTTCTAGTAACAATAACAATTTTCTCAGCAAAAGATCCCTTCTATAGCTCAGAAACTTGGCCTCCGCAAAATGAGACCCTTTTGCACAATAGCGTGATAATGATTGACAATTAGTTGAGCATATTAAATGACTACTAGTGAGGAGGCCTTCCTGTGGCTCAGGTGGCTCACACCTGTCATCCTAGCTACTTAGGAGGCTGAGATCTGAGACTCTGGTTCAAAGCCAGCCAGGGCAGGAAACTCTGTGAGACTTTCATTTCCAATGAACCAGTAAGAAGCCAGAAGTAGAGTTGTAGTTTGAGTGGTAGATACAATCCTTGAGCAAAAAGGCTCAGGGCCTGGGCAAGTCCTAGGACTGGTCCAAAGAGAATGAAAAGGAAGTATAGATTTAAAACATGGAAGACCTGGAACTCTAGCCTACTGCATTTTGTGGCCAGCAGGTGGCAGCAGTACAAGAGTTATTTAAACCAAAATTTGTACGTAGAGGCTTCAGTTCAATGTGTTCATTGCAGTAGGGTCTCTGAAGTAGGGCTTTGCCCCCGGCCGCCCCAGCCCCAGCTTCATTTCCACTCACTTCCCTTCCAAGCTTTCAGTCTGTCCACACTCGCTGAGAGCCAGCCAGTGCTGTGTGCCTGTGTCCGCCTGGTCCCATGGAAGGGGGGGGGGGTTGGCTGGAGAGGCAGCCTGGCCGCCAGGTCTGGAGTCTCCAGGGACCCAGGCTCCTTTCAAGTCTGTTTTTCACCCTCCATCCCCATTTCCAGGCTGTTTCCAATTACTTATCCCACCCTGGAGGACACGTGTGGCCGGCAGCGGAGCGCTCAACCGAAGGAGGTAAAGGCTTCTCTGCGCAGCGGCAGCCTGGCTCTGTGGTGGAAGCAGGGACGTCAGGGGGGACTGCGCGTCTCTGCGCCTCTTTCCCCGCATCTGTGAGGTGGGCCTGGGCGCGACCCCGGCCTGGGTGGAGAAGGCCGTCTGCACCGGCATGCACGGATGTTTCCTGAGCAGTGTCTCAGCGCAGGTTTGGTGGCAGTGCTGTTACGTTACACAGGGGACTGGGCACAGGGGTTTTCCTCAGGGGTCCCGGAACCAGCGCCCCTCGATGCCTGTCTGTGGCAGAAGGGAGTCTGAGCCCCCAGCTTCACTGGCCTCCACGCACTCCACCCACTTGCGGTGGAGGTCCCGCCGTCCCTTCCTAGTCCCCTCTGCCTGCCGCAGGGACCGCGTAGCTTCTGCCAGGCACGGGCTCCTCTGTGGGACGGGCCTCTGCGGGACGGGGCCTCTGCGGGACGGGCTCCTCTGCGGGACGGGGCTCCTGAGCTCCTCAGTCCTTGAGGCAAGAGGGGCCCCGCTGCACGGGCCTGCCTCTCCCCTCCCGGCCGGCAGGGCTCCCCTCTGCTGCAGTCCACCCAGCTCTGCCTCAGCTCCTCACTTCCAGCGCGGGAGGGCAGGGCGCGCTGGCCACCCGGACTTGCTCCGTGTCACCGTGACAGAGCGCCTGGAGACGAAGCTTCTTGGAGCTTGCAGGTTCTGCGGTTCCAACCCCTGTTGGTTGGTTCCTTCACTTTGGGGGCTCCAGCGCGGGCTGGCCCCTTGACTGCCAGCCCGCGGGGTGGCAGCAGGGCAGAGCTGCTCACCGCCTGGCCGTGGGAGAGGCTGGGTTCCCTTGGAAGACACCCCAGGGACCTCACTTCCCCCCTCCCCACAAGGCCCGGCCTCTTACAGCCCACCGCCTCCCAAGGCACTGGGCGGGGCTCTGGAGCGCAGTCCTGACTCAGCGACACAGGAGGCCCGGCCACAG